AATCGATGCGTTTTTGTAAGAAAAATATCCATATTCAAAACGTAATAATCACTTTAATGTAGCTTGCGCTCACTGTTGTACAAGAAAGCAGTTCTGGGGGAATGACGTGTGAGGACAGCTTTACGCATGCGCCGCTCAGAAGTGACGCACGCGGACACGCAGCGGAGAGATCAAAACAAAACAACGGTCACTAATTAGAAGTACAAAACAAGGATTTGTAAAGAAGAATGTCAGAGGATTTCGATATAAACCAAGAGGAGACTGGTTTTCCTTTTCTAAAGTAAGGAAACTTTGCTTCCTTTACTCCTGTTAACAAACGTTGGTTTTCACGAGGCTCACTGGCGCATCTTACATCATCCTCCCGGAGCTGCTTCCGTGTACAACTGTTGGCGCAAGCTTTAAAGTGATTATTACGTTTTGAATATGGATATTTTTCTTACAAAAACGCATCGATTCACTACAGAAGGCCTTTGTTAACCCCCCGGAGCCGTGTGAGACTTTTTTCTTTTATGGATGGGCGCTTTTTATTGAACTTGTTTTGGACTGAAGCATGCAACACCCGCTAAGTACCATGAAATAGCTTGAAAGATCAAAGACCATTTTGAATATAACTCCGACTGGATTCGTCTGAAAGAAGAAAGACATATACACCTAGGATGACTTGAGGGTGAGTAATTTATGGGCTAATTTTCATTTTTGGGTGAACTAATCCTTTAAGCTTTATATTAAGTTCTATATTAACTTTTGCCAAAGTGATTCGATTGCAGTGCAGGAAAATAAATGTCAGTGGATTAAATTAATCTGACACACGTTGTACTGATAAAGGGTCATTTATACGTTATTTTTATTATTTAAATTGACTAACATATTAATTTAAGTCTTTGTAAGCACTTGTAAACACTCATGTTCATATGCACACTATTGCTTGTGGTCCGTAAAGATGGGTAATGGATAAGGAGGTGTCTTGCTGTAGAAGGGTGTCCCTAGAGGAACTGGAGCTGTAGGGATTGATGGCAGTGGTAACAAGCCTCCTATATTTGACTGATCTTTACATTGAGTCCTGCCTAAAATCAGCTCCACCTGTCAGGTCTCGGTGAAGAAGAACTCTCACTGCCCACCAGTATTTTGCCTTGTGGGTCTGACTTGTGATGTGTAATCAAAGAAAAGGGTTTCATAAGGTTAAAAGTTTTCACAATCTTCCTAACAAGACTAGCTTAAACCGGCCTTTTACTTGGTTTATGCTGGTTTCACTGGTGTCAGAGAAAAACCAGCAAACCAGACCAACTTGAAAAAACACCTTAGGATGATTTTGAGTTGTATTTTTCTGAAGGGATACAAGTACACGTAGAGGATTAAAATTGTGAAGATTTGGGATGGATGGCATTTTTCATATGTTTTACTTATACACAAATCTTTTTGATGTCTTTTGGTATGTAAATGGACCTGTGTTCATTTTCAGTTATAATGCACTCTAATCAGTGGGATTCTTGCATATCAGCTCTAAGTTTTCCACAAAATGACTGCTATACATTAAGAAAATGTGACATTAAGGATGACTCAGCAATAAGGCTTCTTTGTATCACATATCATTAATATTAATTGGCTTAATTTTTCATCATTTCATCTCATTAATATGGCTCTCGTCCAGCTTTGAAAGTGCCCATTTGCTTTTGAAAAGCTTTATCTACTCAAGACCGTAATTGCCCGCAAATCCACATTAGTTATTAATTGGCTTCCAGTTGCATGGAAGTTCATCATATGTTGATCAACTCTTCATGTTCTTTCCCATTGTCACTTTCAGATTTTAAAGCGAGGTTGCCATGTGAATGACCGTGATGGCCTGACGGATATGACTCTTCTCCACTACTGCTGCAAAGCAGGAGCTCACGGAGTGGGTGAGTGACACTGTAGTTGACGGTTGGAGTTTTTTGCCCTGACTTGCCTTGTAATCCACAATCCAAATCTGGCATTTCTCTGTAATTGAGGTAATTAAATTCTAACTCCTTTAAAAGCTCTAACCTAGCGGTGCATTTCACACGTGCCGACATAATAAAAGCGAATCGTGTGACCGTTGGTATAGTAACAAATGTATTTTCCTTTCAGGTGATCCTGAGGCAGCACTCCGGCTGTCCAATCAGCTGCTAGCTCTGGGAGCTGATGTGAGTCTGCGCAGTCGTTGGACCAACATGAATGCCCTACATTATGCAGCTTACTTCGATGTACCAGAACTGATTCGTGTTTTGCTCAAAGGCTCCAAGCCTAAAGGTGAATTTCAAAAGCATAAACAGTGTTTGTATTCACGACAGCATCTCAATTTTTTAATAAGCCAAATGCTTTTTGAAACAATCTAGTCACATTCTCACACACAAGCTGAGACATAAAATGCTAAATAGTTAAGTCATTTAGAAAATGTCAAGTATCATGCACAAGGAAATGATGAAGAGGCTAATGAGTATTTGGCATCTCATTACATTTTCCACTAATAAAGGTGGGTGTTCTTCAACGTGTCTGGTTCTCTTTTCTCTACACAGTGCTCAACTCCACCTGCAGTGACTTCTATCATGGCACAGCCCTGCACATCGCCGCCTCCAACCTCTGTCTCGGTGCTGTCAAATGTTTACTGGAGCATGGAGCCAATCCTACTGTTAGAGTGAGCATGATGATTTAAACTTCACTTGAGTTAATCAACCTGATTGACCTTGCTATAAATCCACTCCGTTCATATTGGATTAATGTTTCAGAAGTCTTTGTTGGTCTGTTTTTCAGAATACTCTCATTAGTAACCAGATAATTTTATATGGACCCACTGTATATATGAAATAAGATGCACAAATATATCCTACCATTCAAAAGTTTGGGGTTAGTAAAATTTTCTAACATTTTGTCTCTTGGCTATCTAAGAATGCATTTATTTGATAAAAAATACAGTAAAATAATGTTGTGAAATATTATTACAATTAAATATCTGTTTTCTATTTGAATATATTTTAAAATATAATGTATTCCTTTGATGGCCAAGCTGAATTTTCAGCAGCCATTACTTCAGTCTTCATTATCACACAATCCTTCAGAAATAATTCTGATATGCTGATTTGGTGCATTTCTTATTATTATCAAAGTTAAAAAAAAAAATTCTATGATGAATAGAAAGTTCAAAAGAACAGCATTTTTTTAAAATAGAAAACTTTTGTATCATTATAAATGTCTTTACCTTTGAACAAATTAATGCATCCTTGTTGAATAGAAGTTCTAACTTATTGACCCCAAACTGTTGAACAGTAGTTTATATTTACTAAAAGATTAACTGTGACTATGTTATTGACCCAGAAGGCAATGTCTGTAATCTCAAAATTAACTCTCTGCCTGCTACAGAATGATAAGGGTCAAGAGCCTGCTGAGGTTGTCCCTGACCCTATGGACATGAGTCTGGATAAAGCTGAGGCTGCCATGGTGGCTAAAGAGCTGAAACAGTTGCTGCTGGATGCAGTGCCTCTCAGCTGTAACCTCCCCCGGGCCACCCTGCCCAATTATGACAACATTCCCGGCAACCTTATGCTCTCCTCTCTAGGCCTCAAACTAGGGGACCGTGTGGTGCTGGATGAAACAAAGGTGAGATTAGGAGAGTCTGTGTGTTTAAAGATGTTGAAGGATGGATGCAGTGTCTAAAGGACCAAGGATAGGAGAATATAGGATATATATATAAAACAGAATGCCTGTTTTCTGCAGACTGGCACCCTCCGTTTCTGTGGCACTACTGAGTTTGCTAGTGGGCAGTGGGTTGGTATCGAGCTGGACGAGCCGGAGGGCAAGAATGATGGGAGTGTGGGTGGGATGCGCTATTTTATCTGCCCCCCAAAACAAGGTGTGTTCTCTTCATTTCTGTATTATAAAAGTCATTTTATAATTATTGTAATGACAACAGCAAGCATGAATTGAGATTCAGACTGATCGCATTATTCAGATGAAATAATCTAGAGTTTAATATTTGGTGTACACGTCCATTCTTCAGGCATCTTCGCCCCTGTGTCAAAAATCAGCAAAGCTCTTGAGCAGGCCCCCTCTTCGGTCACCTCCACCCCAAAAACCCCTCGCATGGATTTGTCTCGCGTAACCGGCAGGATCAAAAAAGAGAAAAAAGAGAAAGATTGTGAAAAGAGTGAGTGATAACATCTATATATCAAACATCTATCTATTTTATATGTGCATTTGAAGTTCTGTGTTGTCCAATGTTCATTTTCTTATCAATTTGTTATCAAATCATTGTTTAAACCCAAGTTAATGTGTGACCACTTAAAAGTCTCTTGTTTACCAAGGCTGCATTTATTTGATTAACAGTAATATTAACAGTGAAATATTATTGCAATTCAAAAGAACTGTTCTCAGTTTTAATATAGGTGAGATTAGGAGAGTCTGTGTGTTTAAAGATGTTGAAGAATGGATGCAGTGTCTAAAGGACCTAGGAGAATATAGGATATATATATAAAACAGAATGCCTCTTTTCTGCAGACTGGCACCCTCCGTTTCTGTGGCACTACTGAGTTTGCTAGTGGGCAGTGGGTTGGTATCGAGCTGGACGAGCCGGAGGGCAAGAATGATGGGAGTGTGGGTGGGATGCGCTATTTTATCTGCCCCCCAAAACAAGGTGTGTTCTCTTCATTTCTGTATTATAAAAGTCATTTTATAATTATTGTAATGACAACAGCAAGCATGAATTGAGATTCAGACTGATCGCATTATTCAGATGAAATAATCTAGAGTTTAATATTTGGTGTACACGTCCATTCTTCAGGCATCTTCGCCCCTGTGTCAAAAATCAGCAAAGCTCTTGAGCAGGCCCCCTCTTCGGTCACCTCCACCCCAAAAACCCCTCGCATGGATTTGTCTCGCGTAACCGGCAGGATCAAAAAAGAGAAAAAAGAGAAAGATTGTGAAAAGAGTGAGTGATAACATCTATATATCAAACATCTATCTATTTTATATGTGCATTTGAAGTTCTGTGTTGTCCAATGTTCATTTTCTTATCAATTTGTTATCAAATCATTGTTTAAACCCAAGTTAATGTGTGACCACTTAAAAGTCTCTTGTTTACCAAGGCTGCATTTATTTGATTAACAGTAATATTAACAGTGACATCTTATTGCAATTCAAAAGAACTGTTCTCAGTTTTAATATATTTTAAAATGTAATTTATTCCTTTGATGAAAAAGCTTGTTTTTTTTTCTTAGCAGCCATTGATCCAGTCTTCAGTGTCACATGATCTTTCAGAAATCATTCTAATATTCAGAATTTTCTATTAAAATAGAAATTCTAATAGTATTTCACAATGTTAATTTACACTGCATTTTTTGATCAAATAAATGCAGCCTTGGTGAGCCTGAGACACTGGTGTATATCTGAAGTTTGTCATCTTCTGCACCAGCTCCAAGAAACAAACATCTGTCCGGGGTCAGTTTGGATCCTGATGGAGTCAAGGTTGAGGTTGGGGATCAGGTGTTGGTGGCTGGCCAAAAGCAAGGGATCGTCCGCTTTTTTGGCAAGACAGACTTTGCTCCAGGTATGTCTATCTGAAGGTCTAAGATAATGGTATAATATAATGACATGAGAATAAGCCTGACATGATGATTTGCAATTACCTTATAATTAATATGAAATCACATATAAGTACAATAATGTGCAGTAAGTGTTTAGAATTTTGTGTGTGTGGATTCTTGTGATCAGGATATTGGTTTGGTGTGGAGTT